CATAGAATCATAGAATGGTTTGGGTTGGAAGGGACCTTAAAGATCATCTAGTTCCAACCCCCCTGCCATGGGCAGGGACACCTTGCACTAGACCAGGTTGCTCAAAGCCTCATTCAGCCTGGCCTTGAAGACATCCAGGGATGGGGTATCCACAGTGTGGAAAGGCTTGGTGTTCTTTTTTGAGAACACCATGGAATTTGCTAAGTGCACTTGCGTTGCACCTGCTCTCTTTGTTATTACTAAAGTAGATAATTTCTGAAACAATCTACAGTTATGGAGGTAACAGAAGTATTTAGCCTAAAACAGCCTATTACGATTTTCTGTAAAAGAACTGCACTGTTTTAGACCCAGAGGTGCAATTTGTGGCTTTGGAAGTTTAGACCTGTGATCAGTTGAGTCAACTGTAAACATAATTTTATGTTGTTGAAAGCGATTAATTTTAATGACTTCTGTATTCAGAAGTTACTAACGGTGTTTTCTAGAGGCGAGGGACATGGTGCACTGAAGTGCAGCAGCATATATGGCAACTCGTAGTATTAACGCATAGACCTCAGTCATTGCTTCAGATGAACCGCTTGTCATTTCGTGAAGGCAACACAAAAGCCCTGTGATGAATTCCTTCAGTCCACAGGCTGGGTGAAGTACTGGTTGCTACCAGTTAATTATTGAACAGAGGTACTACTTTGCCCAAACTGGTGTATGGGCCTACTTTTGATCACCTGATACTGTACACATAACCAAGAACCCGTGATTTCATTTGTCAGCACTGCTAAAAATGTAGATGACTGGCCTTTGTGTCACTTAGCCTTTCATAGACTTCACTGTCAGCTAAAATACATGCAGAGTGCTGTGGCATTACATGCTTTTACAAAATGTTATTCATAAGTTTACTGCAGCAGGAACAAGAAATGGCTGATGTACGATTTTTTCAGAAAACGAGATCAGTCGCTTTTTAATAAACTGGTTATTGGTTACCTGGCTTTTAAGAGGTATTGTGCTGGGTATCTACACGACAGGTATCTAGACTCTAGTGAACTAAAGCTCTTGTTACTTTGGAGCTCTTTGTTTTTATTCCAAAAATCTATTGACAGGCAGGTTTATTCCTTAATTTGAATGTCTGCCATTCTAATCTGTGCCCTGAAGTTCCCAGCTGATTCTTGGGGCAGTTTACTGAAGGCAAGCAAGAACCTTTCACATCCTCACCCTTCCGAAAGAGACAGCTTTGTGCAGCTTCCCGTGTTGATCTGTAATATGTATTTAAAGTGCATTTAGTTTTAAAATTCACCCTATGCATTTGAGAGTTCAGAACACACGCTTAATTATGATAGAACCATGTTACAGTGTAAGTTGTTTATTAATGCAGATGATGATAGTTCTGTTGCTAGGACAGTTGAAATATCAAAAGCCATGGAGCAGCAAAATAAGTCTCTTGGCAGTGGTACGGTTCAGTTCAGAAAATTAAGATAAGCAGCACCACTAAAAGCCCAACTGCGCTGCTGCGCTTGTGGCACGGCATTCTGTTCTGTGCTTGCACGAGGTGGGCTTGTGTCACTTCACCGTGCCAGACCACGAGAGGTGGCATTGGAAACGTGGCAGAAAGCAGTTGGGAAGTGCTGTGGTTTGCATTTGGTTTTAATCTGAAATCAGTCTCCTGGTGATGAAGTTGATCTTAGAACAATGACATAATCAGTAGTATATCAAGTCTCATCTCTGCATCGTTCTCTCTGCTGAGTGCTAATTGCAGACCTCCCACGCTTCACTGTGTGGGAGGTGTCTGGCTAGACTCCTCAACATGAATAAAATTGCAGTTAAATGTAACAGTTATGTTAATATGTTATGTGTTAAAGAAACCTTTTTTTAATAAACTAATATTTCTCTTGCTGTATTTGTTAGTTGCCCTTCATACTGCGATTGTCTGTCTAATTTTGTGGTTACTTGTAAGGCATAACGATTGCACAGGTGAAAGTTAGACTTGGCAAGCCTTAACGCTTTACCTAGGATTTGAGAATTTAGGAATGTCAATCTAGAATGGTTTCTAATTAGTAAAAGTAAAAACCAATAATAATATTGCCATGCATGTAGGCATAATAGTAATCTATCTTTTCAGGTAACTATAGAAAGGCAGTTTGGAGAGCTCTGCCCTTGAGAGGGATATTTGTGTGACGGTAGCAGGTTTCTATTCTTCAAACAATTTAGTTGATAGCTGATTACTACTTCATCAGATGTGCTTGTATTGAAAATTATTGAGATAGTGGTGTGTTGTGGCTATCAATAGCAGAGCACATTTGAATGCTGAGGTCAGGATTTCATCTGAATAGTGAGGTTTAAATACTAATTCATCTAATATTGAGAATAAATTTCTCTTGAGATTGTTTGGATGGAGTACTCTCCTGTCTTCATCAAAATCACATTTTGGTGATCCTTTAATGCTCGTTTTAGAAACAAGACGTTGATAAGTGTGATGATCTGGAGAAGTGTCACTTTTTTTTTTTTCTTTTACTGAGGTGCTAAAATATACTCACTGCTCCACAGATGGCAAAGCAGTTCAGTCCTGCCACAGACAAACACTAATTAGGAAACCCAAGAAAGGAATAATTTGGGTAGTGTTTTGTGTTAAGTATCCCAGCAAGTGAAGTCTGCTTGAAATGCGGACAAAGGCAAGAGCCTGAATAGTAGACCAGCCTTGAAAGGGTTACGGTCTTAGGTGAGATGGTTGACTTAAAGTAGTGGAAAGGCTCCAGTAGCCTCAGCTGTGGTCATGCAGCTTGTGTCTTGTGTTGGAAGCCAGCAGACAGAACTGGGCAGCTGCTGCTGGCTAGATTGCAGGGTACCATGATGTCTTGCATCTTGCAGCTGGGAACATCTGGCATTTGAAAGTGCTCTATGGTGTGGTGATGCTATTGCTCTTGTTGCCCCTGTGTCTTTTTCCCTCTGTGGCAGTTTGACTGTTTTCCTGAGAAGGCTGTGTAGGAGCTGGAGTAAGTTTCATGTAACGTGTATGCTGTATTGGAGTAGAATTGGGTTGGTCTCTCCAAGCCTTGGAAGGCTGCTTGACGGAGTCAACCCTGAGACATTCTTGCTTTTCCCCAGAATCCTTTTATGTCTGATGAATTAATATTATATTAACACAGCTTAAGTTACTGAATTAAAAACCCAAAGGGTCAGGGGAGGAGGGCTCAAAGAACCCATTCCAGATCAGCTTTGTATTTTGCCTTGTTCAGTATCTTGACCACTATCAGGTATTTTTCAGGACTTTGTTTCTTTGGTTGGGGTTTTTGTTGGTTTTGCACTTTTAACCCTCATGTATCTTTTACATGCTGATACTTTTGTTGGGCTCATTTGTTGAGAGATGCCAAAGGTTACTGGTGCCTCTAAGTGTTTACAGCTGACACTGAAAAACCTGAACCCCTTTATCACTTTGCAGAGCTGTATTTTTGTACAGTATGTCCTTGACATGGTCCTGAAATGTCCTCAACGGTCCAATGAAGATTAGGTTTTCCTAATTACATCTAAATGAAGGTTTAAACTCATCATATTGATGCACAGTAATAAAGAGATTTGAATGGTCTCAATAATGTTCTTTATATATAAACTTCTGTTCTAGTTTGTTTACTTGAAAATTCCGTTTTAATATTTAATTATAAATATTATCAATGAGAACTATAATTTGAGTTTTGTTTTGCCATGTTGTTTCCTAATTTGCATGAGATAAAGATTAAAGAACACCTAAATATTTCACTGAGTACACTTTTCTGTGTAGTGCAAGATAAGAATTGTCATACATGATGCTGAATTCTGACAAATTATCACAGCATTTTGCATGTAATTCAAATGTGGACTAAACATTCACATCAATGACAGTGAATGACTTTAAATATTTTTAACAATCAATAAAAAATGGAATAAGCAGAAGTGTAAATTTTATACCTGCTGCTAAAAATGTTGTACTAGAGCTTAGTTTCTCTCTTCACATAATGGAAAGTTAAGTTACATTGACAATGCCAGCACCTTACCCCTGACATGGGTTTCTGTTGCAGTGAAATATAAAGGAAACAAAAAGGCTTAAACACTGCATCGAAAGTAGATTTAAGCAGTGCAAGCAGTATAAAAGTGAGTGCAAATTCCAAAGCAGACAAGGGAACCTGTGGCATGTATTATCTTGTATGTAAGACTAAGACCTAGGCATTCATATGCAGTAATTATCTGTGAAGTGTGATGATATCATTACCAATACTTGACATTTCAGTATTTGACCCAGCCAGTGGTCTGGCTGCAATCCTTACGGAATGCCTAGTAAATCTGTCTTCTTGTTTTCAGCACCCTCGTCCCATGTACATGCCTTGCATCTGGAAATGCCTTTAACCAATAGTCTAAAGTTACCCAAAGGGACTAGTAAAAAAAAGAGGTCTTCCACATCAGTGAGCTCTGACGGGACAGAGATACAGTGCTCTGTGCCCGTAAAGGAGAAATGTTTTGAGAGTCTGAAGGAGAAAATATTACAGAACGTGATTGAGAAGGACAAGCATTCAGAAGTTGGTAAACTACAATACTTTTTGATTCCAGTGCTTTAGACAAAAATAATTGCAATGTGACATTAAAAATAACTTCATTTTTTGTCTGTTTCTTCTTATTATGTATCATTAGGGTTTTTATGGTCTAATGACTTTTATAATAACATGGGTGAGCAGACGGGTATTGCATTTACATCATATATTCGTCTTCAATCATATATTCTTCTTCAACTTTTCAGGTGCAGTGAGAATGGAAAGAAAAGGAAAACAGGAAGAGAAAAGTTCTTCAACATATGGTATGTACAGAGCAATAATATTTTTGAAAAAAAAAAATTCTCTAATAATGTCTCGGAACAGCAAATGTAAAACTGTAAAATATTTACTGGGCCCAGCTGCACTGCTTTTGTTTAGTTAGGTCTTAAAAACAGTTTTTATATGTATGACAAGTATTTTATAAGAGAAAATTAAAGTGCACATAGCAAGGATTTGGAAGTATCAAAAAAAATACCTATGAGGGGCCTGAGGGGAAAAAAAGTGCTGCTTTTGGTTTTTAAGTTGAATTAGTGATACTGCCTTTATTTCTTCATACTGACCAATTTTGTCTCGGGGAGGGGAAAACAATTACGTGCTACTAGCAAAACATTTGGCAGGTTTTATCTTGTGTTTAAATCAATAATTATTAGAGATGGACAAGAATTCATAAGTGATTCTGCCTTGTTTTTCCAGGAGGTAAAATTCTTTTTCTGTATTTCCCAAGGTGATGATAAGGCTCTGTGTGCAGGAAAGAATCCTTAAATACAGACTTCAAGGATTTATTTTCTGTAACAACTCAATTTCCTCATCATTTATCTCACTGCTCATTACTTAGAAAATGATTATGGAGTGACAATGTGGTGGGATGTATTTTGTCTAGAGAGAATTAACAGTGTAAATAGAATTTTTCTGAGCCAGTGTACTTGTCGCATATACCAACAGTCGTTAGAAGTGGACTGCAGTGTAAAAAATGTATCATAAATTGGAGTCAGAATCATTTTTTCTGTGAGGTTGTCACTGTGTAGTAGGAAGTGCTGGACAGCATCAGCAGTTTTGTCATACTGAAATTTCCTTCAAATGCCTTTCTATAGGCCTAATACATCTTTTTAAGATGAAGTTATCTTTTTAGTTTGGTATTGTGCACTACTGAAAGCTTTTTGTCTTGCTCCAAACTTTGTTATAAACTGCAGGTAAAATAGATGTTATAAGGTATTTAAATGATGTCACTTAATTTGGTGTGCTTAGCTATGTCTTCTGCTGTGACATCTCATTTGCAAATACCTAAAATGGTTAAATGTTATTTGTTCAGAGGTATACTTTTGAACCAGTCTACCAGCAATCAATAAGAGACTTGCCCAAAATATCAGATCAAAATGATTCAGCTAATTTACTTGACTAGACAACTGGAATCCTTGATTTTTGAATACCATGTTTAGGTTAAGCCAAATGAAGCAAGTAATTTGGAATGGTACTACTGGTTTAAAATGTTTAATTTTTATAATAGGTAAAAAGAAAGAAAAGGAAAAGGAGAAAAAAGAGAAAAAGGAAAAGGACCATAAATCAAAACAGAAAAAGAAGAAGAAAAAAAAGAAGAAATCTAAACAGCACGGTAAGTTCAATTTACATTTTTTTTCTTTTAAATAAGCAAAATGACTCTGTATTTTTGGCATTAGATATTAAAACTTGTTTCTGAACAATATGAAATTTTAGAAGCTAAGTGTTGAAAGGACACTTAGGTCTCTGACCTCATTTTTGTGTTTATAGCCTGTCTTTACATGGTAGACTAGGCATTTCATAGATATTTTTTTCTTCCTTCAAAAGGTATGACCACTCTTCCCATCTCCAAATGCTTCATTTGAAGCTTTCTATACACATCTTACCTATTATACTGCTATCTAGGCTATTGCTAAATTAAGTGGTCTAAAATGCTGCCCTTCCTTAACAGCTGAGTTGGCATCTCTGCAGCAACCTTGTCTCTTGTCTTGAGAAATGGTGGTTCCACTTCTTTGTCTCACTGCCCTATCCCAATTCTTTGATCACACCAGTCATCCTTTTCTTTTCTGTTGTTTGCGTTACTTAGAGGGACAAATTTTTTTTTTTTTTTTTTTTTTCTGTGGGGCTCTAGGGAGTTTTTGCTTTTTTTTAAAAAAAAAAAACCCACAAGAAAAACCAACACAAAAACCCCTTTCAAGCCACTTCTTGTTTGAGAAGCACTGCTGTGTGAGTGTAGTTAAAAGTTTTAACACCAATCCTTCTGTAACCTGCCTTGGCATGATTTCTCTGGAAAAACTGGACAACATATGGTTTTCCTTTTTGCTAAAAAAAAAAGTTAACTATCCTGCTGACTAGTACAGTATTACTGTTGCTATGACTTTGCTCCCTTTTCCACCTCCTTTGGTTCTTTTAATCTCCCATAAAATTATGTTACAAGTGCCTTGGTTTACCTTTTTTTGCATCCAGTGCAGTCTTAGTTTCAGCATTATAGCAATAAACATAACAGCATGGACAAATGCAGACTCATTCTTTTCTTCTTGCCAAAGCCCAATGTTTGTTTTTTGTGTGTACTATGCCTGCTTACTTAAAAAGTGTTTCAGCACATGAAAATAAGTAGTATTATTTTATCTTGCTGCTGTTTCTTTATTTATTTTGACATCTTCAAATACTCAGAAATTTAAAAATGAGAACATAGGCACAGAAAGGACAGCCTATCAGATTGACTTTGCTTTCCTGTACTTTGAGACTGTACTAGGTATCCTTGTAATAACTTTGATTACAATTTCTTAAAATAAGAGGTGAGAATTTAAAACCTAGCAAGCAAAGAATTTTCTGAAAGTTTTTCCTCAAGCATGGGACCACAGATTTTGAAAGATGCCTTGTGGATCTCTAGAGTGATTATGCATTTGTTTGTCCTAAATTTGTGCTATAATATCAAAATGCTCCTAAATCATGTAGTGCTTGAATGTGAGACAATCTAGGTTTTGTGTACTTCACCATCTTCATACTGGAGTAATAGAATTTTGAACTATGAACTTCAATTGCTTATTTTGTGGATGTGGATGCCCCATCCCTGTCTGCCTTCAAGGACAGGCCGGATGAGGCTTTGAGCAACCTGGTCTAGTAGAAGGTGTACCTGCCCATGGCAGGGGGGGTGGAGAGCGGG